TCAGTTGTACCCTTATTCCACTCCATAGAAGGTCAGTTAGTTGTACCCTTACTCCACTCCAAAGAAGGTCAGTCAGTTGTACCCTTATTACACTCCCTAGAAGGTCAGTTAGTTGTACCCTCACATCACTCCACAGAAGGTCAGTCAGTTGTACCCTTATTCCACTCCATAGAAGGTCAGTTAGTTATACCCTTACTCCACACCACAGAACGTACATCAGTTGTACCCTTACTGTACTCCATAGAAGGTCAGTCAGTTGTACCCTTAGTCCACTTCACAGTAGGTCAGTCAGATGTACCCTTACTCCACTCCACAGAAAGTCAATCAGTTATACCCTTACTCCACTCCATAGAAGGTCAGTCACTTGTACCCTTACTCTACTCCTCAGAAGTTCAGTCAGTTATACCCTTACTCCACTCCACAGAAGGTCAGTCACTTGAACCCTTACTCCACTCCACAGAAGGTCAGTCACTTGTACCCTTACTCCACTCCACAGAAGGTCAGTCACAGTTACCCTTACTCCACTCCATAGAAGGTCAGTCAGTCGTACCCTTACTCCACTTCACAGAAGGTGAGTCAAATGTACCCTTATTCCACTCCACAGAAGGTCAGTCAGATGTACCCTTACTCAACTCCACAGAAGGTCAGTCATTCGTACCCTTACTCCACTCCATAGAAGGTCAGTCAGTTGTACCCTCACTCCACTCCACAAAGGTCAGTCAGACGTACCCTTACTCCACTCCACAGAAGGTGAGTCAGTTGTACCCTTACTACACCCCATAAAAGGTCAGTTAACAGCACCCTCACTCCACTCCACAGTAGGTCAGTCAGTTGTACCCTTACACCACTCCACAGAAGGTGAGTCAGTTGTACTCCTACTCCACTCCACAGAAGGTCAGGCAGTTGTACCCTTACTCCACTGCACAGAAGGTCAGTCAGTTGTACCCTTACTCCACTCCACAGAAGGTGAGTCAGTTGTACCCCTACTCCACTCCACAGAAGGTGAGTCAGTTGTACCCTTACTCCACTGCACTGATGGTCAGTCATTCGTACCCTTACTCCACTCCAGAGAAAGTGAGTCAGTTGTACCCTTACTCCACTCTACAGAAGGTCAGTCAGTTGTACCCTTACTCCGCTCCACACAAGGTCAGTCAGTTGCACCCCTACTCCACTCCACAGGTCAGTCAGTTTTACCCTCACTCTCCTTCACTTAACGGAAGAAGTTTATTAAGACTGAACAAGGTCAGTTAGTTTTACCACCTCACCGAACGAAATAAGTCAGTTCCACCTGCCAATTAAAGTTTTGGAAGTCTTCCCAAACCAATGAAGATCAGCACTATCTACTCTATCACTTCTACCTGTCAATAATTATTAATAAAGTTTTACCACCCCACCGATGAAGCTCATTCAGATCTACCACCCTATCATCCTTCCATATTGTACATTAATAATGTAAACTATCAATAGATATAAAAGAAAGCGGCGAAGGACGGCTTTGATGATCTTATCCCCTCTAGTCTGGTTGATATTATATATTGTAGAAACTAAGGCCTCTTTGGAGGTAGTAGGTAGTAGGCAGCTATCAAACAGGGAGGGGCATCACGAAAATTATGACCAAGTCACAGTTTGTTGATCTGACTTTCTGCCTCATTTACACATAATTGCAGGGTCTCAATTGTTTCTTTCTTTGACAACACAACATACATATATCGTATCTCACTATTGATCTTTTTTTTTTAATTTGTGTATGTCTGTATGGATCATCATCATCATCATCATCATCATCATCATCATCATCATCATCATCATCATCATCATCATCATCATCATCATCATCATCATCATCATCATCATCATCATCATCATCATCATCATCATCATCATCATCATCATCATTATTATTATTATTATTATTATTATTAATGGGGGTGGTGGTGGTAGAGTGGTACCGCTCTTGCCTTCGCAAGCGAGATGTCACGGGTTCGATTCCCGGGCCGGTGGAAGTTGTTTGGACATATTTCCTAGCCCCCATTAGTCCCTGTTCACCTAGCAGTACAGTAGGAACCTGGTGTAAGTCGAAAGTTGCGAATTCGTATTCAGGGACAAGTTGTTGGAGCTTCCAATGACTTGATGACATAAAACCATTGACTCTTCAGGCTTCTATGCCCTTGACTCTTCAGGCTTCTACGCCCTTAACTCATGAGACATAAAGGCAAGCATGAACTTAGCATGCTTCCCTGTTGGGCACTGTAAACGCTTCTGCGCTTCACCTTACACAAAGATGTAGGAGAGTGCCCAATAAATAATAAAAAAAAATTATTATTATTATTATTATTATTATTATTATTATTATTATTATTATTATTATTATTATTATTATTATTATCAGTTTTGTTGTTATTAATATTATTGTTATTATTATTTTAGTTTTAATTTTGTATTTTTTAATATAAGTTTTATTAACTATGAACCAATTATTATTATTATTATTATTACATTTCCTCCCCCTCCCAGGCCTTGATGTGGGTCAGTGACCTGTGCCCGGTGGACTAATCCCCGAAAAAAACTGTCTTTAATACCTCTCGTAGTTGAAACAACTATAGTTGGCGGTGTTCTAGTGATGTCAAATTTGTATAAATAAAGCGACTCCTTCAGATCATGTTAGTTGCTTGTTGTGAGAAAATTAATTCTATAATTTTATAATACGTGCTGTAGTTAGAAATCAAAGATAACGTTATACACAGTATCATTTGTGCGTCCCACTTTTTTCCTCAGCTATTCAACTAAGGTTAATCGTTTTTCCCTTGATATCCCAGTTTCCTTATATTCTTTGCGGTCAATACTTGTAATACTTCCTACTTCAATGATCAACCTCCGGCAATTGACCACATCCTTCTCTCACGCTGACCCGCCTCTCACTAACCCCACACACCTGATAAGTTTCGATGTTCTAAATTACTCCCTTCGGCTAAAACATACCGAACTTTTATGAAATCTTGAAACTTTCTTTTCTATGTTTTTCTAAAACTGGATTGACAAAGTAATTTTAAAAATATAAGAAATTAAATGTTCTGATGAGGACTTTAAGGGGATATGATCCATGTTTCCATGAATAGTCAATAAAATATTAAATATCGACCACCCTTCCGTGCGTGACAATATAAAACATCGTGCGAAAACTGTAAGCGTCTACCTGTGGTTACCGGCGATGATTGGTTATTATCACTCATTTTCTATTCCATTAACCTTGGGGTGGTCGATACAATACCTGTACCAGTTAAACTCACTCTGGCCAGTGACGGAATTCGAGATAAATATTGACAACCCGTGTGCCAGTGGATTGTTGGTTGTTACGATTTAATGAAAGAGATGTTACCCATGTTTCAGAACTCAGTGGTGGACTTTGGGATGATGGAACCTATGTTCCATTCCTTAGTAAAGAACTTTGATATCATGCTGCACTCTCTGTTAAAGAGATAATAAGGTGATGAGATCTATTTCCAGACACTCAGTTAAGGTATTCAATGAAGAACCTTAAGCCTAGGTAATGAGATCCATGTTCCAGCGCTCAGTGAAGGATTTAAGGAGGTGGATGGCAGGCCATTGACTACATAATATCTCGTTTCTTATCAAAAGTTGTGTTACAACCTTAGTTCGAGCCCCGCGGTCGGCCACTGAATGAAGCATCCCTAGTCGACACAACTATGGAATGGGAAAGTCAAATGCTTACTGTAATGCGATATTCATGCTACTGTACATGCGGTATTTATACATAGAATAAAAGATTTAATATCAATAGGTGAATCCATATGAAAAGTTGCTAATACTACATTCTGGTTATTGTTAGCCATAGCTTAAGCAACTGTTTTCGAACTTTATATCATGTTTAATTGAATACTGACATGAGAGATTTCCACAGTCTTATGATGCACTAATGTCGGGTTTAGATGTAACAAAACTCTGTATATTTTTATTAGATATGGCATTAAGCAATAATATTATACACAAGAAATATAATTAAGTAAACTTACAAATGATTACATATCTAGAAGAAAATAGTGACGCATATGAGGGATTATCTGAGATGGAAAAATATTATGCGTTTTAGTGATAATTGTCCAATTAAGCCGTAAAGTTCCACGATATGTCTTGCAAAACAGGGATAACGTTTTGTTATTATTAAATTGTTTAACTCCATGAAAAATAGTGCATATATGATAAGACTAACTATATTCCATTTAATTCGGCAGTTACTCTCTATATATAATCATTCCTTATCTGAATTAGAGGGGGTAAAGTTATGTTTAATTCGGTTTAGTAAGGTTAAGCTCGTTATGCCAGCACAAATGTTATTTATTATATTTTTATGTCGTTTAGCTACATGATTAATTTTAATCCTAGTAAGGAGTGTTTTTTTCTCCATTTTGTGGCTCCGATATTATAGTGTGATAATAAGCATCGTTATTAGATATAAACCAATCATATATATGACCCAAAAGTAGATGCCGGATATTGCTAAGTGTTCAGAGAATTTTGTCCGCAACTCTACATTGTAGGCTTATGTCATATCTCAGCTCTATCTTAAATCGGTGACGTGCATAACAAAGAAAAATAAACATGTTTGGGACCAACCACTGGGGTCAACCCCCAAATTCCACTTTCGTAGCACTTTAGAGGCATATTCCCAGCTTCGTTCCAAATACCAGCTCTAAACACATCACATGTCATCAAATAATGGTACACGTAAGCAAAATCCAACTCTCAGTTAGAACAAAATCATTCAGGGCAATTTTGTATTATATTTTAGTTTATAAAGTTTTCCACGGTACTACAAATGCGTTACCATAGTCATTTGCTTTACATTGAAAATATAATTCCCTTGCCCCTATTTTAATGTTATAGGAACCATATGTCAGCATTCCATGAGGGACTATAAGTTGATAGCACCCATGTTGCACTACTCAACCAAAGATTCTGAGACGTCAGCCTTTATGTTTCAGTGTGCCGGGAATACACTGTAACGACTGGTGTGGAGACGCGTATGAAACTGGCAGTGGACGGCAAGGTGCGACTCCGAGTGGAAAATGGCCATATCACCATCATTTCCTCCTGCGGCAACAGGATTGTCCGTTGGCCCATTGAGCACCTTAGACGTATGGGCTTCACTGACAGCGCCTTTCACATTGAGGCCGGGAGGAAGAGTCCAGTTGGAGAGGGAAAGTTCGTTTTCATTACTAACGAGGTAAGAGAGAAAGATCTGAGTTTCAATTCTTAGTAATAAGTTTACAGGAGAAAAATGTAAAAAAGTGAATGTAAGAAAGAGCAAAATAATGACATTTTTAAAAAAGAGGTGAAGGGAACAAAGTAGAGATGGATATGTTAAACACTAATTTTTGGACATGCTAGGGCATTTTGCCTTCCATAATACCGTTCTTATATTGCTGTCAATAATGCTTGGAATATAACACTGAGTGTGTACCGAAACATCAGCAACCATAAATTTAAGATTAAATGACCTAAACAGCATTTTATTATAATGCAATTAGTTTTATTGCGACATATTGCATAACTGTTCATTAAAGTTCCCAGATACCACACTTCCAACCCACCACGAGTCTTGACGACACGGCACACTGCTTCTCTGTTTACTTTGTAAATTAATGAGTTGAACAATGTGATTTTGGATGGGAAACTATTTTTTAAACATTACATATGTTGCTTGAGTTATATTCGCAGAATAAAATCATGAAGATGTGTGGCGAAGAGAAGAAAAAGTATTATGTTGGTTAAGGACTAAACTTGTAATATCCAACTTATTGATCATGTTTAACATACAGTAAGAAACTCTACTATACACATGGGAGGAGAGGAGAAAATGGAGTAATAAGTGAAAAAAGAGATATGGGATAAAATCAATGAAGGTATTTAAAACACCCTCGGTTTCAAATAAGCCGAGCGAGCTAATGAGCGCCAAGTTACACTCTCGCTTCTTTTTCACAGCCAATCAGTGCCTCTCTGAGCGTCGACAAGCCCGTCACGGGAAGCAAAATCGAGTTCCTTGTTTTTGGAGCTATTTTTGCATAAAAAGCTATTTTATGTGGCATTGAGTTCGTCAGATAGTGACAGTGTTGGTGAAGGGTGTGTGTGTATATGCTGGAAAGAGAATTCATAACCTGTCTTTTAGTAGAGCGGATAATAGAAAAATCGTGCAAATGGTGATACAAGTATGAAATTTGGCATGATCATACCCTAGTGACTACTTATTAAATCTGCCTGATTGGCCATTTGGAAATCCAAGATGGCGGCCATTTTTCAAGATGGCTGCCAAATTGACCTTCGAAAGATTATTTTTTTTATAGAAATTGATGTAGTTGGTCTAAATGATCTTAGTGTCGATTTGTATGTTTTCAAGCATGCTCAGATGATATTTTTCTAGTTCTGATACTCTCAGATATATATTTGTCTTATTTATGATTGGTTTTATGTACTGGTTTTATGTTTTTTCCAGCTAGGTGAGGGTAGCATGCAGAGGGTCTCTGCATGTGAGGGAGTGATTGTCGGGCACTACCAGGGCACACTGGTGACATCACTGCTGTGCAACCCAGCATGGGGTTCAGTGTCACATAAGAAAAAGCATGTCATACTGCAACAGCTTAGTGTCCCAAATGCTGCTTAACCAACCCCAAATCAGTTAGGCAGCCGCACCTGAATTGACAGGATGTGCCGGTGCGGGAGAGCCGAGCCAAGGATAACGGGGTTTTAGTTATCTGGATGGTGTACAGATCGCACGGGAATAATGACACTGGATGAACGATCGGACTAGGTGTAGGGCAAAAGGCATGAACCTACTGTAGTTGTATCCCATACAAGAAAATGCTCATCAGGGTGGTAAAAAGGATAAACCCTTGGCCCTGAAGATCAAAAATAGTTATGGTCACAAAATCTACCAACAAATCATTTCTCACTGACTGGGCATAGTGTTGTCTTTGTCAACAGGATAAGAAGGAAGATCTTAAGTCTCCACATGCAAATCCTGCCAAAAAAGGAGATGACGGTTACAAGAGCTTGGCAAGGGATATTCTTCTATTTCATTCAATCAATGCACTGCCAATCAAGCTTGACCCCGCAAGACTTGTTGAAGATGATAGGATAGAGGAGACCTTGAGGCGAAACAAGGCACAGTATCATGAGAGTTGCAGACTTCTGTTCAACAACACAAAGTTAAATAGAGCTCAGAAAACGCAAACCTCTGCAGTTGCTGCAGAGGAGAGCAGCAGTAGCAAGATACCACGAATGGTCAGAGACCCCAAAGCAACAGAATGATTTCTATGTGAGGAAGAAGCTTCGGGAGATGACATAAGACATGCAATGACAATGAAACTTAAGAGGTTGAATGATTGTGCGAAGACACTTAGCGATGGAAAACTCCTTGCCAAACTAATTGCAGGAGATGTTGTGGTACAAGAACTGAAGTATCACCCTCGCTGCCTGGCAGACCTGTACAACCGAGAAAGAACACACCGAAATGCTCATGAGCAAGAAGAAGCACAAGAGCTTCATCCGAACAAGGACGCATACCCAACTGCTTTCTCTGAACTGGTCACTTACATCACTCAGATGAAAACTTCTAGTGAAGGTACTGAACCACCCATTTTCAGACTTGCTGATCTGGTCACGCTCTACAGACAGAGACTTGGGCAGCTGGGTGTTGGATCGCCCGATGTTCATGCTACTCGACTGAAGGACCAGCTGCTTTTCCACATCCCCCAGCTGCAAGCTCATCACCAAGGAAGAGATATCCTACTGGCCTTTGAGAATGATGTTGGCTCAATCCTGGCACAAGCAAGCAAATACGGTGACGCGATCCATCTGGCCAAGGCTGCTGGGATGATACGACGGGACATGCTTCAGCACAAGTCACACTTCAGCAGTACATTTCATGAAGGATGCATTGAACAGACTGTTCTACCATCACTACTTCAATTTGTATGCATAATCGAACATGGTGCAGATATCAAATCCAAATTCCAGCATGACGCATCGAAGTCTGACCTTGCTATGTCACAGCTCTTACAGTACAACTGCTTTGCCAACTACAAGGTAGGCACACAAATCTACAGACACTCCAAGGACCATGAGACACCTTTTGCTATCTACGTCGGTATGTCTGTGTTTGCTAAGACAACAAAGAGGCAGCTCATCGACATGCTGCATGAAAATGGGGTCAGCATTTCATATGACAGAGTTCTACAATTATCAGGAGCTTGGTCTTGATAACATATGGATTTCCTTTGGCCAAGGAGCCAGTCATCGATGGATTCCAGTTCATGATGTAGTTTCTGCGATAGGGCCTAAGAAAGCTAGTGTGATCCTATACTATCATGCTTTCACTGGCTGTGACGTTGTGTCTGGCTTCCGTGGGAAAGGAAAGAAATCTGCATGGCAGACATGGAATGTCTGTGATGAAGCTTCAGAAACATTCAGCAAACTCAGCCAATGTCGAACAACAGTTGCTGATGTTGACCGGCAGAAGCTGGAAAGATTTGTTGTCCTCATGTACGACAGATCTAGTGCAGCCACTGGTGTAGTTGAGGCAAGACTAAATCTCTTTTCCAGCAAGCAGAGACCATATGACTCCATTCCACCAACCCAGGCAGCCCTCAAGGGACATGCAAAGCGGGCTGCCTACCATGCTGGTATCATCTGGGGCCAGGCAACAATCTCCAATCCAGAAACCAGCAGTCCCATCAACTGGGGATAGACGCAGAAGGGAGAGGCATGACAGACACGTTGGGCGACTCTTCCCCCGATTGCGACATGCAGTCAGGAGCTGACCAAATTTTCCTGTAAGAAAGACTGCAACCAGAGATGCAAATGCTTTCGCTCTGGACTTTCCTGTACAGCACTTTGCAGCTGCATATGTGAACAGCAGTAAATGCACAAAGATGTACTGTCAGAAGTCACAGGAACCAGTGCTAATAGTGAGTTCTTTTTTTTAGTAAGTTCTTTTTTGTTATAGTTTTTACTACTAGTGTTATTTTATGTGGATAAAAAATGTTAGAATGGGCTTAAAACTATAAAAAAAAATCATCTGAGCATGCTTGAAAACATACATATCGACACCAAGATCACTCAGATTGACCAACTACATCAATTTCTATAAGAAAAATCAACTTTTGAAGGTCAATATGGAGGCCATCTTGAAAAATGCCCGCCATCTTGAATTTTTAAATGGCCAATCAGGCAGACTTGACAAGTAATCATTAGAGAAGTACCATGTTAAATTTGGTGCTTGTATCACCATTTGCATGATTCTCTTGAAAAATTGCATATAGCTGCCCCACTATTTGTAGAAAATGACTGTTGCAAAGTTGGATTGTAATGTTGTAAGTCCCCCCCCCCCCTTCCACTCCAATGGTCGAGTCTTACAAGTCTCGCACCAAGTCGCACTCGGTTTGATGCTGCTCTTTACAGCATCCACGGTATAACTGAAAAACGTGTGAGGACTGTCTTGGCCAAGGTGTGTGTCAATGGACGGTGGAAGGGGATAATCGGCATACAAATGCTATATGAGGAAGATCACTGCCGAGTTATTTTCATAAGACTTCTCTTCACCTTGATATACTCTTTTACAACCTAAGGGTTATGCAGTAAATGTACTGATGTTTATATATCCTTTTTGGGGGTTTGAACAACACCCTAAACATCTCTATACATGGGTCTTAATAACCCGAACCAACACCTATCCAGGGGCAGATTGTGGATCAAATGGCACCATAAGCTCGTTGAACAGGCTTTGTGTGAAATATAACAGAGTCTAGGACTGCTTTTAGTATCCTGGTGGTCCAGAGGTAGCGTTCCCTGGTCACAGTCATGGGCTCGTGGTCCATGGGTTCGAATCCTGGCGGGTTGAGGTGTTGATTGTATGTAGAAGTCCGCTTGCTTTATTGGGCCAATGAAATATATATGGATCCTCGTGTTTCGAAGCCGGATTTGGTAAAACGTTACTCTGACCACCTACGTGATACGGGTAGTCCCCATTAGAGGTTCACGGCGCCATAAGCTCGTTGAACAGGCTTTGTGTGAAATATAACAGAGTCTAGGACTGCTTTTAGTATCCTGGTGGTCCAGAGGTAGCGTTCCCTGGTCACAGTCATGGGCTTATGGGCCGTGGGTTCGAATCCTGGCGGAGTTGAGTGTTGATTGTATGTAGAAGTGCCTTATTGGGCTAATGAAATATAT